TTTTTTTAATTCTCGTTTTTAATCACCTAGAAGTTGTGACACCAGCCATTAGTGCAGTACAGCCCACTCTTCTTCTCCTTTTCTTTTTCATGTCCCTGGATCTTTTTCCTCTTCTGTTTGGATCCTAAACTTTCTCAGTCTGGTTCTTTCTTGATTCAGAGAGCTCTTCTTCCCCTCTCTTTTTCCCCGGTCTCCCATCCCTTTTAGCTGTTCCTTTTTTCTGGCTATGCACCATGCTGTCCTCCCCTACTGTAATTCTTCAGCCTTACGGACTCCCTGTCTACCCCCAGACAGCCTCCTGCTACCCCAGCATTGTACAGGTAAACATGTCCCTTTATTCTCTATATCTTCCTCTTTCACATTCTCTTTGTAGTTTGATAGCTTGTTTGTTTAATTTTTAACAACTTTTTCCTTGTGCAGTTTCTGTCACATATCTGGTAATATGTTGCATAAATCAACCAATCACTGCAATGAGGACATTAAATGTGTTTCTCTCTGCCAGTGAAGGACGCTGTGTCCTTTTGTTAGTTATATTTGTCCCTGCGAGGTGGCCTACTGAAAACAGGTTGAGTGTGTGTTTGTGTGCCGCTGTGTGATTGTATGTTTGTGTGTGTCTGAGAGAGAGAAATTCCAGGACAGCTGATAAACGGTGTGCCTGCTCTTTCTCTCTGTCACACTCGTATTTTTAGTCTGTTCCTCTCACTGCAAATTCCCTCTCACACAGATTACAGATATATAAATATATGTAGAGTTTCAGGTTGCCTCTTGACTTTATCTGAAGTGATACACAGTGACAGATTATGTCATCTAAAGAGTAGGACTTGAAACAAAATAATTTTCTTAGTTGCTTCTGCTCCTTTAGTTGCTATTCATCTGTCATACTTTGATTTAACCTTTTGTGTTAGGGCTGAATTATGTGGTTATTTTGATAGCTATGTTTGTGTTGGTGCAAAATTGTATAATTTGGCTCATATACAGTATTTGTGTGTGCTTGTCTGTTTATTGATAGAATGATGAATACATAGACATTTATTATTAAAATAAACCCCAAAATAAACCCTCATGTTAATCTGAGGTTTATTGTGTCGCCCTAGTGGTTTATTTTGCAATAATGACTGGCACAACCAATATTTATAAATTCTAAGTGACTAAAAAAGAGACTGCAGAGTGAAATAATGTAAAGTATTAACTATTAAAAATTGTTTTCATTAATTGAAATAAAGCTGAAATAAAATAATAAATATTAGATGAAAACTTAAAGAACTTAAACGAAAATTAGAAATGTTGCCTTGGCAACTAAAATAATATAAAACTAAACTAAAATAATAATAATCTAAAAACAATAAAACTGAAATAAAATAAATATTTATTTTAATATAATATATTCTTAAAAATAAAAATGACAACAAAATAACTAAAACTTAAATTAAGATAAAAGAAAAATGTAAAGTATAAAAATAAAAGCTAATTAAAAATGTAGATAAATACTAAAATAGCTTACAAATAATACTAAATTAAAACTACCTTAATTGGATAAAAAGTCTGTTGATGAAAATAAAAGAAACTGGTTGCCAGGGGAAACAGCCAGTTATATTGTTTAGTAGTCATTATACAACAAAATCTGGCCGCAGAATGCCACAGCTGAACCAATCAGAATCAAGTATTTCAGAGAGCCTTGTAATATACGAGTATAGACTACATAAGCAGTTCTTGTCATCAGTTCTGTGTGAGTGTTTGAATGATCCCGCAGCTGTCAGATCACGCACCTGGCATCCTGCCTCTGATCTTTAACCCCAAACCTGACAGCTGAAGGGGCCAGTGTGTGTGTGTGTGTGTG